TTTTTTTTTTTTTTTTTTTTTTTTTTTTTTTTTTTTTTTTTTTTTTTTTTTTTTTTGTATATAAAATGAACTTGAAAGACTTTGGTTTCCCTTTTCTCTTTTGAGCCTACCTAAACCACCAATTCACCTGTAAGGCATAGTTAGTGATATATAGTCAGGGTTGCTACCATGGAAAGACACCTACGGAAGCAGTGACACCTTCTCCCACCCCCTTAATACTGTGCCACCAACCCTTAGGGATGAATATCCCATCGCCAGCTTCTAGTTCCGCCTCATATCCGACAAACTCTCGCCCCGAGCCGACTACCTCCGAGCTGTCATTCCAAACAGCCTTCTCTAGCAGTGTCCTTTCTTGTCCCTGCATCATCTCTGCACCCCGAAACGCAGCAGCCTCGCGACCGCCGCTCTGGCCTAATTCCCGTCTCACCGAGGCAAATAGCGCTTGTCCATTGTTTGGGGCCAGCAACCGCACAATCTTCCGCCCAGCAAGTTGAGCGAATAGATTCGGATTGGGATCGCGGTGGAGGGGGGTGTATGTAGGTGGATAGCCGATCCACACGTTCGTATCGTAGACGTCACCTTTACCTGTTTGTGCCACAAGCTCGGGGAGTGGAAAGTCGTCACGAAGGATGTGCGGCAGATCGCTGAGTTGGCACTGCGCTAAATATAGTCGCGTTGACTGTGACGAGGTCTCTGCTGCACGTATCCATTCCAGAAACAGACCCAGTGGTGCATGAAAATGTCGGAAACTAATGTCACTCTCACCTGCATTCGACAGGGGTTGCGTCAGCTCCAGTGGGACAATTGTCTGTGCGCTATGCTGCTCGAGGTATGCGGTGTTCAACTTGGTTGCATTGCGCCCATATCCGGAGGACTGGAACCAGCGTTGAAAGGCTGGCAGGGAACAAAAGTATCGGCGCGGAAGAATAACAGGTAGTTCGGGGATGAAGAATTGCTCGCGAAACTGGTTGATGTGGGTATCTGCGAGGATGATGAAAGGTCAGTACTTGTAAGGTCATGATAAATAACATTCTGGGTATGTAAATATTTCATCAAGCACTGTACCTCTGGTAAGCTGAGACAATTTCCTCTTGATCATACCCATAATCATTAACTGAGGAATAGCTCAAGTGTTACATATATACACATATTGAACGTGAGAGCACCGCGGAAGTCAAGGACATGGGGAGGTTGTAAATCCTGGGCCCACAGGTGGATCTAAAGCTCAGGATGAAATGGTTTAGTGCTGTTATCCATTTATTACAACAGAAATATGTTTAAAGGCACTTATAAATGGCGTTATTCAAATTCGAGACAATTGCATGGTTGCGTAGTGTAGTGGTTATCACTTCAGATTTTGATATAACAGCATTAAGTTCTGATAACCCCGGTTCGAACCCGGGCGCGACCTTCCTTTTTTTGCTTACCTTCCTAGGTGAATCTAGGTGAATATCAAGGAATCTTTGTCGGTTGAATTTAGCAGAGTTATACAATGTAGTGATTATTATACTAGATTGTATAGTTTTATTTTACTCTTGTCCTCCACCATTTCATATTAATTATGCACATGTTGATTCAGTAGTATTAAACCTAAGCATGACCTCGACTTTTGCAGTAAGCCCAGGTCCACGTATGTATAACATAACATTGTATATGAATATTAACTGCGGTTGCGTAGTGTAGTGGTTATCACTTCAGATTTTGATTAAACAACATTAAGTTCTGATAACCCCGGTTCGAACCCGGGCGCGACCTAGTTTCTTTTTTTTTTTAAGATTTCATCTTTGTGTGATATGCGACATATCTCACCCCCGCGCATCTAATTGAAGGAATCTCTCCGCACCTTTTTGTCCGTTTTGTTAATTCTACCACAGACTTGTCGCACTTCATGAAACATTCCAAATGGCTTCAGAGACTACTCCGGTAGATCCGACATCATCCCAACCGGCAGCAGAGGATCCGAACGCTACAATAACCACTGATAGTGCGAAACGGAAAGCGGAACAGAGCAACGGAACACATACGCGCACGAAGCGGAATCGATATATCTCCATCGCCTGGTATGACTCCGGATCCAAATTCCCCGATTTTCTTTTCTTTTCTTTTTCTCCCTTTTCCTTTTCATTCGTCATGTCATCTTGATCTTCTTCGTATGACTTGTGATTCTCATCGTCTTCTTCTTATAGCAATGAATGCAAGCGACGGAAGATCAAGTGTAACGGTCAGGTACCATGTCAACGCTGTGGCCATCTCAATCTCGAATGTTAGTCGACGGAATGATGCCCGCGCTCGCTGATGATGTCACACGAGTCTTGCGGTTAACTCTTGCTTTGCAGGTCGATATGCCCCAAATTGCTGCAATAATAACTTCAAGGATTCTGAGTAAGTTTACCAGTTGAGCCTTATCTATACCGAGAGTAGGTACAACTGACCTTTGGCCCACCGTCACCAGGGAGTTCCGTTCAATGAAAGAGCAGATAAATATTCTACAAGACCAAGTCAATAGCCTGTTCAGTAATTTGAATGAACTTCGTTCTCAACGGTCTTCCATTGAGTCACCGAATCTTGATACCTTTTCGCGGGATGGCTCGCAGCCCGTCTTTACTCCCATGCACGCTGCTGGACTGCCGAAGCAACGGATAAGGCATCCACGCTTCCACGGTCCCACCAGCTCAACTTTCAATTTCAATGTGGCAAGATCCAGCTTACAAAATATGGGCATTGCCCCCGCAGAAGATGTGATAACGGACGACTTGACCACAGCGCATGCTACACCTACTGGATCACCCCCACATGCTCCTCCCGTTGCATCTTCGATTCATCCCACCAAGGATCCTATATGGGCTATCAAACGTGAAGATGCTTTACGACTATGCCGAATATATGAAGAAGAAATTGGCATCATGTATCCGCTTTTCGATATTGAAAGGATAAGCCATCAAATCAATCTGCTTTATACCTTCATGGAGGCAGCAACGAGGACTGGATTTGCGCAAAGGGCACTACCGGGGTCAGACGGTATTCAGGATGACAATACCAATCTCATCAAGATGATACTTGCATCTACTCTCGTTGTCGAGGGAGGTGGTCAAAGCGAACTAGGCCAGCGGCTCTACTCAAGTGTAAAGCCGGTAATTGAATCCAAGATTTGGGAGCCACTGGATCTGAGAACCATTCAGCTTTTCGGTATTGTAGTAGGTGATCCTGCTATCATAACGGCCAACTGCAGGTTTAACGTTTTTATCACAGGCAACGTATCATTTCCATACTGACGACGACGCCATGGCCTACCGCCTCATCGGATTAGCTGCTCGCATGTGCTTGGAGATGGGCCTGCACCGACGAGATGCATTGGCCAAATCGTTTCCCAATGAGGACCAATGGCCTGAGATAATCAAGATCTTCTGGGCGATTTATAGCTTGGACAGGCGCTGGAGCTTCGGCACAGGGCTCCCGTTTGTTATCCAGGACGAGGATATTGACCCTAATTTACCGGAACCGGTGGGTTATGCTCTAGATCCCACTACCGCAGCCATTAGCTAAGATAAGTCTCAGGATGCATCATTGCCGTACCTTAGATGCATGATATCGTACAACCGCATTAGTTCTAAAATATGGTATTCGGGGCTTGGTTTTGAGGGTACGATGGATGTTCGACGAGAAGAAATTGGATACTTGGATTACCAGATTCTTCAATGGTACAAACAAATCCCAGATGCATTGAAGTTTTACCCTACCGAATCACCAAAGCACGGGGAATCGGCCAGTCGCGGCATCCGGAGACTACGGGTGCTTTTATATCTGCGCATGAACCAGCTTCGTACCCTCATCTATAGGCCGGTCCTTCACTCGGCAGCAAGTATTACCGAAGACAATGGCCACGCCCAGACTGTGGTGGGGGTTGCCAAAGATACCGTCCGAGTCCTCACACGGCTGAACCAGACTTCGGATATCTATCGAACTCAGCAAATCACCTTCAACTATTTCCTGGTTGCCGCTCTTGCCGTACTTTTTCTGGCCGTGTGCCATGCACCGGCGGAATTCAGTCGGCAGGTGCGGGATGAATTTTATATGGCACTCGACCTAGTCAACGGGTTCAGTACAAAATCATACGTATCAAAACGCTTATGGAAAGCAATCAAAGGTCTTCGAAAAATTGGGGAACGACTCGGCATGCTAGTGCGTCCATTCGGATCTGATTCTAACGACCCTCACTCGACGGCGGCTGTGGCCATGGCCGGGTTGGCAGGCCATCCGATTGAAGACCTATCGGTATATGGGCCCACGAATGGGGTGCATGAACTTGGGAGTAGCCCATTGAATGGACTTCAGATGAGCCATGAACTCACAGCTTTGTTCGAAGCTGTTGGGGGGGTGGGAAATTTCCTGACATCTGGCACATCGCAGGATGGTATGAGTGGGTTTGTAGGCCCTAACGGGGACCTGCAGAACACAGGAGAGGGTCTCTCAGGGATTTTAGGGGATGACGGAGAATTATCACGAGCTATTAGGGATTTGTTTTGAGTACTACTGTATCCGTCAATTTTCTGTATATTGTAAGGACCGATACGTCCTGTATCTTTAGTAATCTTCTTGTTCCTTCCTTTGTTTGTTTGTTTCACTTCGTTTCTTTTTTTTTTTAAAAAAAAGAATAAATTAATTAATAAGAAATTTCCTTTTCAGTAAAAGTTGTATACATAGTTGTATATAAATATTCTCGGAAGGTTTAGAGAAGTTCGAGACTCCCTTTCCAATGGAAACACGTGACCTAGCCGTCAGTCGGAGCCCTGGGGGAGTTTCTCTTGCCAACTACCAACCACCTTCCATTCTCTGGAGCCGAGAGCAGAGCCAAAGCCCATATACACCCCCACTCTCCCCTACAGATGAACGGAGGTTTGTGAGACCACACCGTCATTATCGAAGAGAATATTTTCTCCGACTGTTATTGAGACCGCCACAGTCTAACAGATCGATATTTTTTCCTACCGCCCCACGGAACCTAATTTCGGAGAACAACCCCCCTCCTCTCTGCCTCGATTGATCGAACTGCAACCAAAAAAAAAAAAAAAAAAAATAAAATATAATAAGAAGAAGAAAAAGGGGGGGTAACCAGGAGCCTCGGAAATTATATCGGATTTATTTTTCTTTATCTCACGCTTTCCATGAACGATAGAGAGTTACAGACTCTTCGATACGGTTTTCGATAATATAAATTGATCTGCAAGTTGATGGTCTGTTGAAAACAATTGATTGGTGGGGGGCATTGTCGCTATATCGCGTCGACGCATCCCGCACAAACAATCCTGGTTTCGCACTCTGTTATGATCTTTCGGCTTATTAAACCGACTCGTTTGTTCAAATCTGGCATTTCAACTTGCTGCAGCACCCATTGTCACTAGGGAAGAATTTCCTATTCAATTTATTGGGGAATCTCTGAGCGGAGAGACTCGTGCCAGAGTGCAGTGTCAGCTGGCGCAAGTCGATAGCGACGTTATCTCTTTACGAGATCCTCTCGGAACGGTTTCCGTCACTCGGCAACGTGTCGAGAGAGCCAGGTTCGGCGTTGGCCGACGGCCTAGACAGGCTGGATCTGAGTCAACTGTCTGAATCGACGCCCTCAACATCCGCGTCCGACTCGTTCGATATGTCGTCGTCGGAAGGTGCTCCGGAGTCATGGATCTCCTCGTTCTGCTCACTAATGGGCCATGAGTTCTTTGCAGAGGTGTCGGAGGACTTCATCGAAGATGACTTCAATCTTACGGGGCTGCAGTCGCAGGTGCCCATGTACAAAGAGGCGCTCGAGATGATCTTGGACGTGGAACCGGAGGATGAGGACGAAGAGGAGGAAGAGGAGGAGGAAGAGGAGGACGAGGATGAGATTCTAGGCGATGAGAAACCCCCTGGCTATCGGCGTGCGGGTGATCGCAGGCACACCCGGGTGGCCAGTGACCTGAGTGTGATTGAAAGTTCCGCTGAGTTACTTTACGGGCTAATCCATCAGAGGTATATAACTTCGCGACCGGGAATCCAACAGATGCTGGAGAAGTACGAAATGCAACATTTCGGTGTCTGTCCACGTGTCTATTGTAATGGATGCAAGGTTCTGCCTGTGGGACGTTCTGATACTCCGGGTCAAGAGACGGTGAAGCTTTTCTGTCCGAGCTGCCAGGACTTGTATACACCGCCAAACAGTCGGTTTCACTCAGTTGATGGTGCATTTTTTGGGACCACCTTTGGATGCTTGTTCTTTATGACGTTCCCTGATCTGGATATTGTTTCTCGGCTGGACAGCTCCCTCACCATGTCTTCACCACGGCCCAACAATCAGATATCGCCCGATGTGCCGCCCCCTTTCCAGCCTGGGGAGGTCAATGGAGTACGAACACCTAACTTCTGTCCGGGCCTTGGACC